TAATCGGGATGGGAGTGTCAGAGACAGTGAGATTGGCACAGGACAGAGCAGAGTTTAGGGCTGTTGTACATAGGGTCGCTATGAGTCACAAGAGACTCGACGGCACATAACAACAACAAACAACATAAATCACACAGGAAGAGATTGCCCATCTTTCCCCCTGAGGAGAAGCTTGTGGATTTGAACCGCATACCTTTAAGTTGGTAGTGCAACTCCTCACCACCTTTTTTAAATGTAAAACATTTAAGTCATGAAAATCATGTCTTTCAGTGTAGGTCAAATAAGTGCCTGCAGGCTCACTCCCCTCACATCAGCATGTCGGTCTCTGGCCCTGCATGTCCTCAAGATTGAAGAGAATCAGATGGCACGGTGTGATGAAGCACTGAAGTTGGCATCACCATTTCCCAGGGCAGCTTCTGGGAGTTTTGCTGGTGTAACCTGTAGGGAGTCACACTGCAGCACCTCTTGGCAGTTCAAATCCTCAAGCAGCTCTATGGGAGCGAGATGGCCAAACTCCTTTCATGCAATTTACAGTCTTGCAAACAGAACCTGAGTAGATTTGGTTCTGACTTGATGGCAATGAGTGAGGGTCATTATCTCAGAGGTTTCCAAGGACCAGCAGTTTTTTACACACAATGATATCACAGGCTGGAAAACCACACAACCAGTTTGCACAAGCACCTCTGCCGGGTACAGCCTATGTTTCAGGGGAATCCTGGCCGAGGCAGAAGCCTTAGGACTGCAGGAGAGTTCCTTCAGAGACCAGCAGGCAGCTGCATACCTCTCTAACCAAGACAGGTAGCCTTCCCTGCCTCTCAATTTTCTTCCTTCTCTCATTGAGCTCACTTCACAAGAGAAGAGAAATTGGAAGGAGAATCACTTGGAAACCCTTCAAACGTACAAACAGGCGATCACATTTGTGTAAGTTGATACTCTTAATAACAGCAGAAAATGGAGGCTGGGGAACAAGAGCTTGGAAACTAATGAACAGTCTCACAAGGGAATGGATAAGAGAAGGAAAATAAAGAATGTAACGTCAACAAGGTTACATCTTCAACAGCTTTTATTACTCGAGCCTCTTAATTGGTAAGTCAAAAACACTGTACAGCGGCATAAATAACTAGTACACAGTATGCAGTAGGGAGCCCCAGTGGTGTAGGCTGTAAGGGAGCCGCACCACTGACTCAAGGGAAATTACCTCTCTGACAGTTGGAATCCACCAGCGGCTCCACAGGAAAAAGACAGGCTGTGTGATTTACAGCCTCTGGAGGGTCAGCTGCCAGTCAGTTCCAACTTGACGGCAAAGGTGAATAGAGCTAAAGAGATCAACGGTACAGTGGCATACACAACTAAATAATGGTATCTTCCTTTGTTGCTTCATTCAGCTTTTACTGATTGTGTTTGGATTATAACAATAATACATACTCATCCTGAAAT